TTCTAAACATATTCTTTTATATTTTTTCTAGTTGATAGTATTGCTTCAGCAGTTGAAAAATTCTTCTTAAATATATAAAATAGTGTAAATAACAGTGTCTTATTGAAGGTAATGGTCAATGCAGGACAACTGTTTCAGTGGAAGGGAGGTCAATTATGGTTAAGTATGGATAGATAATGACAGAATGTATTTTGCTGAAATTTTTATTATTTCAAGTGAAGTTTTAATTGTGTATTGTTGGATTTTTAGGTTTTTAAGTTTTTCTTTGTGGAGATATTTTAGAAACGAAAGCAGAGTAGCACATTTTCTGTATTTTTATTGTATTTCTTTGTAAAATATACTTAGTAATTCTAAACTTTTAATATATACTATTTTTAATGTAAGCTAAAGCCAGCATCCAAAAATATAAAGAGGGTTTTTTGTATAAAACAGTGCTCATTAAATGTTTATTGAAAAGGATCTTTAATGGAATTCCTTGCTAAACTTTATTTTGTTGGTGGATATTCTTTATTGCAGAACTTTTTAACCTTGCATGTTTTTGCTATTTGTTTAAAATCATACATGGATAACAGATTTTATTGGCACTAGATATCAGTTTAGTTCATAAAAATTTCTTTTATTTTACTATGGAGTCTTTTAATAATTTTATTATTTTTAATTTTCCATATTATTGATRTGTTATAATTATGCATAGTGGTGGGATTTGTTGTTATGTAGTCATACATGTTTAGCTATGAATTTTCTCAAAACAAGTAATTCATGCTTCAGTAACAGYTTAGTGTTTCTGTTGATAAGTGACATTAGAAATGCTTGAACTCCTTTGAAAAATGCAAGGAAATTGTCTCCTTGCACTTAAACAGTAATAATCATAATAGGAATTTAGATTTTAATTATCCTCTTGGAAGCAACTGTGCTTTCCCTTGTTTGATTCTGTGCTGACTCTGCTGTTTTCTTAAAATATTCTTATGAGTGCAATCTATTTGTTTAAACGTTCTTGGCATTTTGTATCATCTTACTCTTTAGCATTTGCATAGGTAGAAGGAATTCAGGAAAGCAATACTAAAGAGAAACTGATGTAGTTACTTCACAATTACGAACTTAATAGACTCAGAGATAGAAATATACCACTATGTGAGGTATGCAAGTTTGTGCACACATTATGGGAACTTAGGCTTTGTATCCATGACCTTTTTTTCTTTTTTTGCAATTTATGAAGTAAATTCCATGGACGGTGACCTGGAATTTAATAACTAACTTTACATAAAAATTAAGATTTCAATGTATTCTTTTCTCCTAACTTTGGATGTTTTAAATCTTTAGGCTGTATATCTCTTGGGATTTCTTGTTAATAATAATAAAAAAAATGTTTGTTTTCTTTATAGGTTTAAGGGTGATTGAAATACTAGAGTATTAGCTGAAGATGCCTGGTGATATTTAGCATAGATTGCCTTGTGGGAGAAATAAGGTGGATTTAATGATTTGGATAGAACAGCAATTAAAAGTAGCAATTAAAAATATAATGTGAGTCTGATGGCTCAGATAATCTAAGCATGTTTTTGTTTTAGGCAAGTAACATGTCGAGTTATGCTATGTCACCTTTTTGCAGAGTGTGTTGATATTCTCGACTTAGTTTTTTTTACCTTTATTGTTTTCAAGGTCAGATAATCATCAAATGGTAATTTCAAGGTTGTGAAATATCATTAGATTATTTAAAAATGAAAGATCAGTTCTTCAGTACTCTCTACTGCCTGTAGGAATTACAATGTATTTTTATTTTGCCTTAGAAAACRGTGTCTTCAGTTTTTCTGCAACAAATGAGATAGAATAGTGAGGAAACATAACTGAATAATTCTTATATCATAACAGATGAAAGGCAAGCAGGAACAAAGGAATCAGGTTAAGATGGGGGTGCAATGGCTAGTATTCTGTTTATTATTTGCCTAACAAAGGAAARAATGTTTGGCTTTAGAGAAATATAAATGTTAAAGGAAATAAGTATGTGTGAAGACATACTACCTTTTATACTTTAAGAGTACATTTAATAAGGAATATGACAAGTATAATCTGTGCACTTTTTTTCCTATCCTGCATTTGGTTTTTTTAGGGTAAAATTTACTAAGGGATTAAAAAGATTTAAAATTATGTTGGATAAATATTCTTCTAATTTTTGTGATGCCAGGCAGACATCCTTATCTCACTAATGTGTTTTGATAGCACAGGGGATAAAGCTTTCTAAGAATTTTCATCTTCATGGCTAATGGACTTTGAGATTTACAGATTTGTGTGTCCTTCCCCTCGCTCCTTCTATCTCCCACTTCCTTTGAAGTTAGGTAAAATGAACACAGGAAGACCTGTGCTGAAAAGGAACATTTCTGATTCTTGTAACTATTTTCTTCCCTTGTTTTCCTTTCTTTCACATCCATATTTTGAGAGCAACATAATGAATATAATAAAAGAGTGGAAATTGCGTTGAAAACCAATTCTCTCAATTAGCAGGCCTATTTCCTATGTCGTGAATTTCAGATATTTCTTTCTAAGTAAGCATTTGTTGCAGAATATTTTTGTGTGTATGAATAACTTATTTTCTTCTTTCCTATTTTAATCCTTAGTCGGTGTACAACTTCCATTTTATCATAATTTTGTTCATTCATCAGGGCAGGCATTTTACAAAGAACTGGTGATGTAGTGATGATTTAGTTTGAAGGAGACATGCCCCAGTCAGGTTCATACTAATGGACACCACAAGGAGATGTTGGCATGTACTAATAGACCTCCTCCTACTTCCTTGAAGGTTTGGCGCTCAAGCTTATTCAGTTTCTTCCTCCTCTTCCTACTGTCATTGTCTGTGATAGCTTCACTCTCCTAGATGATCCATCCAACATTTTACTTTCTCATTTACTTGACTTTCTCACTCCCAGTGATCTTTGTTTCTCTAGCCAATCTCAGATACCACTACCTGAGAGAGTAAAATACTTCCCTCTAAATATGATGTATAGACCTCCTTTTCTGAGCACTCTACACTATTGGAAATAATAACCCATTTACTCCACAGTTATTTCTTGTCTGTCACTTCCTTATAATACCCTCTCTTCCCTTCTTATACCCACAGTCCTTCTATACAAAYCATTTGCCTCTCTGTTCATATGAACTCTGTCCTTGTTTGCTCACCTCTTTTGCAGTGTGCACCTTAGTGTGGTGAGCACCTGTAGTTCTAATTATTTTTATCTAAGTTGCTTAGGCTGTCCTTGAACTTTCTATACTCCTGCCTTGGCTTGCTCAATAGCTGGGATAATAGGCTATACCACTGCACCTGCCTTTTTGCCATTTTGAATATTTTCTTTTTTAAATATCTTTTTAGTTGTAGATGGACACAATATCTTTATTTATTTACTTTTTTTTATGTGGTTCTGAGGATTGAACCCAGTGCCTCACTCATATGTGTGAGGCAGGCGCTCTACCACTGAGCCACAGCCCCAGCTTGAATACTTTTGAAATATTGGCATAGAGTTTTTTCTTTAACAAATTACTACTTTGATATTGACATGAATACAAAGTAGCCTGTCTTCCTAGTGCTAATTTGTTTTGCTCTGTTGGTTATGTTTTCTTAAGTAATATAGCAAATTAATAAAACAAGAAGGTGATTTAAAAGACACCTAATTTCGTATCATTTCAAAAAACCTGCTTTGGAACATACACATTTCCTTGTGTTGCCCTTCTATGTCTATTGTGTTATTTATATAGGTATAATTTAGGACTTAATTGATACTTTGACAGCCTCATCATTTCCCATACAGGTTATAAACATATCTCTAAATAGGCCTTTTGAGCTCAAAGTAAAAGTCCAAGTTCTTTTGGTGACTTGTAAGGTTTACAGGATCCTGCATCACAACCTGCCTGGTTGACTCATTTATATTCTTCAGCCCTTTATCCAAACACTCAAGTTGGAGACCTTTGATTTATCTCTCTGAGGATCTCATTGATTACCCTATATAAATTGTGTGCCTTATAGTATGCTCATTTCTTTTTCTTGGTTTTATTTTTCTCTATAATAGTTATTTACAGTGTACTTTAATTATTTATTGTGTACCTATTCCCATTAGAATGAAGGTTCCCCATGGGAAGAATTTTTACCTCTTGTTCACTGCTCCATTCTCAGCAATTAGAACAGTGTGTGGTATTTAGTAGTCACTTCATGTTTGCCAGATAATGAGTGAACTCTGCCTCTTCCAATCCATGTATTTCACATTGCACTAGATCTTCAAAAATTCTTCTGGGGAGGCTAAATGTAGAATGGTGCTCTACCACTGCATGACCTGGCCTTTACATCTTGTGTTATATGTTGCTGTGTCTCACTCTGGGCTGAGTTCATTYCTAATTCTTTGATTTTCTAATCTCTTATTTCCCTTTTCCTTCTGACTCGGGCTTTCCTGACCCACTCTGTCAAGGTAGGTGTTCTTACTTTGAGTCTCTTGGTTCTGTTACAGGAATTAGACTGCAGTGAAAATTATTATTTTCTTGCTGTGTTTCTCCTTTCCCATATAGTTTGGTAATCCCTGTGTCAACATTACCTAGAACTAGACTCTGAATTGAATGGTAACTAAATGAATCAAAGACTAAAGCTTTTTATGTTGCTCACAGTGCTAATTTTCATAGGGTATTTCTTCTATTGAGTTTTCATATTTATTTTGAATTATACTGAAATAGATTATTTAAATATTTTTTTATACACAATAATTATCCATGACATTTTGCATTTGAAAAATGTATTATTTTAATACATTATAATTATTGTTAACTTGCAAATAACTTAATATGTTACTATCTCTAGTGAATATCATGGATTGAATTTATAGATTTATGGGATGTCATAATGAAATTGTTCTCCCAAAATAATAGTAATCATAGCAATTGTGTGCTGCTGTTAATAGGAGAGGTGTGATTAATTTGTTATTTTGTGGATAACCTTTATGCAGAATAAGATAAATATTTTTGATTTTCAGGGAAGTCTTAAAAGCAGTCAACAGATTTCACCTCAGGAATTCATCTATGAACTCAAAATGGGGTCTGAGGATGAGAGACTTGTGACATACTTGGAGTCCCTCCGGGTGTCTTTGACCAGCAATCCTGTGAGGTAAGTCATCTATCTCAACATTTTCAGGGCATGTTTTCAAATTAAATACAAATGAAATAATAATGATATCTGTTTTATACTTTTCTCATGATGCTTTCAAATAAATAGCTGGTATACCTCAACAGTTTCTCCAARTAAAAATTGAATACATAGTATTTATAAGCACAAAGAAATACTCTYAGTAGTACTTTCTGTATTAATTATTGAGTAATATATAGCTCATGGAATTAATTTGTTTTCATAGATTTTTTAAAATGTGAAGATTTTCTCTTAAGAGAACAGTTATAGTCAGAAGTTGTTAGTTTAGTGTGACTGAATTTCACCCTGAATTTTGGTATTGTGTAACATACTTGCTGATTCTTGTTTGACACAGCCCCTCCCCCCAAAAAATCACTAATTAATTTTTTTCCTTTGTTTGAAATGGTGTCTTTGTAGGGATCCATAGTTTAGTATTGCTATATTTAGCAAATAAAAATGTAGGACACACGGTAAATTTGAATTTCAGACATACTAAAAGATTTATTTATGTGAATCCCAATTTAATTTGAGTGTCTTATATTTACTTAGCAGTACTACATAGGTATTTCTACAACTTTTATACTTTTGGAGTGGGTCTAATTTTTGGTGTCTTTGAGAAATAATTGTTTAGAAAATAAAAAAAATCCATTAAATTTTGATAAACTGGGCATATTTAAAATTGCCAGATTATTAACTGATAGAAGACAGAGTTTTAAAAAAATGAARCATAGTATACCTGATGTGTATCATTCATGTTAATTTAAATGGCTGTAGGAGAGATAGCAATCTGTATAGAGGCTGTATGCTAATGCTGAATTACTTTGGTGACTGATCCAGAGCATTCTTGAAAAATCTAAGTAGAAGTTGTTATGAAATTTTCAAGCAGTTAGATAATTTCTGAGCCTCAAGGGTCTGAGGCAGATCAATCACTGCATATGAATATGTGCTGTATTTTCATGAATACATAGTCTGAAGGCTTGAATGGCATGCTATAATTGAAGGTTAATGATGTAGAAAATATATTCTAATAAGTACTTTTTTCGACATTTCCTATGTTTAGATATATTGTAAGAAAGGCCTTGACACAAGCATTTAAAACAAAAAGACCATCTCTGGGGTTTAATTAATAGGAGTATGAAGAATAAACAATCTTTATTTTAGTCTTTACTTGTCTCCGTATRATTAGAAGTAGTGCCACTCCCCTCACTACTATTACCATTCATTTTTCCCCTCTCCTTTTTGTGATGATATGATAACAAATGAAAACAATATTGAAAGATTTCATGTATACATATTAAAATGGATTGGATTATTTATTGTGATTTTTATCTAATAACAACTAGTAAATTTTGCTATATGTTCTTATTTTAAAAAATATGATATAAGCAAAATGTTGTGAAAATATTTCCCCAAGGATGGACAGTTCTAGAATATATTACTAGAAATGCACCAGGTTTTCTATGAGGTTCTTTAAAATTAAAAAATGGAAAATTGTATTGTTGGAGAATTTTTTTTCTGAAATTGTGCCCCTTAACATGTAGAGAAAAAAATGGCAAGATACTTGAGTAGTTCTTCTAGTGTTTCAGTTAGAGAAATTAAAATATTAATATATCATGCAGATTATATCCTTTTGACTTAGTGTGAGTAGAATTATCTTTGACTAAGCTTTTGAGACTTTCTTCTTGATATTTTATATATTTACCAATATTAATGTGCCTAGCTGTTTACCCTCATTAAAATTGTTCTTTATACCTTTTCCTAAATATTAGGAATATCTGTTGTAAATATTATAGGAATAAGTTTTTTAAACCTGTTTAATAATCTTTGTTTTTATTTGGTAGTTTCATCTTTTTGTAGCTATAGTAAAAAATATTGAAATTGATATCTGATATTTCATTTTGAATTTTCAGTTTGATTTTTTTCAAGTTCGTCTCCCCCAGTCTTCCTGTTTCTGCTCCTTCTCCTCTTCCTTCTTTCATTCCGATATTCTTACTTCCCTTCTGGCTTACCTTTTTTTTGCATATATTTTAAATTTAATTTCATTTTCTCTCATTTACTGATTTAGAAGACAAAATGTCCTTTCTGATCTTATAATAGCAAAGGGATTTAATATGCATATATTTAAAATGAATGAAATTAATCAATAATTTCTTCTCTTGAACCAAAGAATAATTTCATATTGATCCTTCTTCTTTGATTAATATGCTTTTTTAAAGTAACATTTTAATTGTATTTTTTTATAAAGTGGAATATTATTGAGTTACACTACAAATTTGTATGTGTACAAAGTGTACACACAATCTCATCATTTTCTGATTTCTGTACTTTTCTTCACTGATTATTTATGCTTCAAGTATATTATTACTATCTCTTAGGATCTGTTGCCTAAATTCTGTTCTTCATCTGAAATTATCTTTGTTATTACTTTTGAAGACAAGCCTTCTCTGATTTATTACATTGAAGGTTTTTAGTTATCTTTTCTTAGCACGTTGAAGGTAAAATTTTTCTCATCTTTTCATTGCTGTTTATGAGAGCTTGGCCTTTTATCTAAAACTCTTTGCAGTTAATCTGTCCTCTTTCTCTGYCTTTTTAAATGATATTTTCTGTCTTTGGTGTTTTCAAGTTTCTTTTATGTGATAGATGGTATTTCTTATTTATCCTGCTAGACATTTTATTTTATTTTGCTTCTTGAATATGATTGGTGTCTTGTGCAAATTCTGTGCTAACCGACAAGGGCACACAAATCAGTGAAAGATAGTGAAACTCTGTTCCATGACAAAACAAGAAAGGAGATTTCAATCTTGAGCCCAATGGATGGGACATATGTGACGTGCAGTAGAATTGAAATAATATCAATTTTCTTCTGCGTTCCTTTCTTCTCTCCCACCACAGTCTCTGGAGACTTAGCTCCTCCAATGCTGAGGGAAGGCTGATGAAGGTCATGTTTGCTTGAGCAGGAAATGCGCTCTTGGCTTGGAGAGTGCTCTATTTTTTTCTCTCTTGCATGCTTTCTTTTGCATTTCCCCCATAGCATTCTGATTGGTACCTGGAAAATTCTTGAATTTTAGAGTTCTCTTTCACTTTTTCATCTTTTTAATTCTCTCTGGTGCATCCTGGGCATTTTTCTCAGGACTATTTTCCCATTTACTAAACCCTCTTCAGGTACATGCAGTATCCTAGTGGCTCATGTGTTTTGGTTTCCTGATGTTCTTCCATGGGCTCTGTATGTGATCAGCCTGATTCATCTCATCTAATGTTAGACTGTGAAATAAATGGCTGCTTTTTAAAGAAAATATTTATTTTTTAGTTGTAGTTGGACACAATACCTTTATTTTATTTATTTTTATGTGTTGCTGAGGATCGAACCCTGGGCTTCACACGTGCTAGGCGAGCATTCTACTGCTGAGCCACAACCCCAGCCCCCAAATGGCTACTTTTAAATATGTAATTTATTCAAAAAGTTAATTCCCAGAAAATAAACTTTAAGGATTTTATTTTAAAATCCAGTAGATTTTGCAATCAGATCATTAATTTTTGTTTTGTCAGACTGGCTCTGTAATTTAGTGTAACTTTGGTGGATGGAGCTTTGAATGGGATACAAGTGTATGCTGGTTTTGCTCTATAGGTGTGTTAATTGCTTTGTACTCCCCTGTAAAACTGTTCATTTAAAGTTTTGTAGTGCGCTTGCTAAGGGTTGGTGAAAATAAATGCTTAAAATATGTAATTACATTCAGCAAAGGTGATATATTATTCTGACACAGGAATATAAATTGGATCTGGATACTATACTATATTAAAACTGACTTTCTAAATTTAAGTTATGAAATTTTGTTAGTTTTATGTGTTCAGTGATATATTCACACCTTTTACGAAGCAGAAAATTAACAAAAATATAGGAAAATTCAATAGTCCAATATAACAGAATATGTATTCTTGTAATTTCCCAAAGCACATGAATCAATCAATATAAACCATATTCCATGCCATAAAGTAAAGTTATCAAGTTTAAAAGAATTAAAATCATACTTGGTGTGTTCTTTGACCACAGAGACTCAAACTAGAAGACAGTAAGATAAAAGAAAATCTCCAATGCCTTGGAAAATAAGCATACTTCTAAAAAAATCTATGGTCATGGAAGTTTGAAGAGAAATAAATAAATTCTGAACCTAGTGAAAATATAACCTGATAGCATTAAAAACACATTAGAAATGAGGAATAGGCTTAAGTCAGTAATTGCTACTACTACCTAAGGAATCTTGGGTGGGGTTGCTGTGGTTGGAGAGCAAAATAAATGAAAAGCAAGCTTTAGAAAGGATTTACTAAAAATAAGAGCAGAGATTAATTAAATTGAAAATAGAAACAATGAAAGAAATCAATGTGACGGAGCTTGTAATTTGAAATGATTAATAAAATTAATAAATTTGTAATAACCTTGACGAAGGAGGAAAGTATAGACAAGATTTCAATGTCAAGTATTAAATGAAATACTAATCACAACAGACCCTGAATAAAAAAGAAATAATGTTTAGTGTTGTTGTGGGTGTAGTGTCAGTGTGTACGCCAAGGGTTCATGTATTGGTAGCTTGCTCCTCAGTGTGGTGATGTTGCTGGGTGGTATGAAATCTTTACTAGGTGGACCAAGTGAAAGGTTGTTGGATTACTGGGCATCATCCTCTGAAGGGGATTAGGATGTTCTTGTAGGACCCAGTTAATTCTTGGAGAGTGATTTAATATAAAAGAATGAGCCTGGTCCTTCACTCTGCCTTCCTGTCTCATCCTATGATCTCTTTTTATTGTGCTGAATATGCTCCCACCATTGAGATGCTATTATCCTTTGGATCCTGAGCAGAGACCAAACACATAGGGCTACTTGATCTTGGACTTTTAGCTTCTACCACCATGAGCTAAATAAAACTCTTTTCTTTATGTAGTATCCAGTCTCAGTATTTTATGAGAGTAACAGAAAATGGAGTAGTATAACT